CATACTTGTGGTTGCTGCATCTGATGTTGTTGACACTGGTGCTATAGTTGAGGATGTTGTAGGGGAGGTTGTGGATGCCAAAGTTGTTGTTGCATCAGTAGTTGTTCTGCTGTCAGACAGAGTTGTGGTTGATGCATCAGTTGTGGATGCTGGTGCTATTGTTAAGGATGTTTGAGGGGTGGTTGTGGAAGGCAAATTGGTTGTTGCATTAGTAGTTGTTGTGGTGACAGACAGAGATTTGGTTGATGCATCATTTGTTGATTCTGGTGCTATTGTTGAGGAAGTTTGAGGGGTGGTTGTGGAAGTCAAAGTTGTTGTTGTATCAGTAGTTGTTGTGCTGTCAGACAGAGTTGTGGTTGATGCATCAGTTGTTGATCCTCGTGCAATAGATGAGGATGTTTGAGGGGTGGTTGTGGAAGCCAAAATTGTTGGTGCATCGGTAGTTGTTGTGGTGTCAGGCAGAGTTGTGGTTGGTGTATCAGATGTTGTAGACGTTGATGCTACGGTCAAAAATGTTGGAGGGTTGGTTGTGGAATTCAAAGTGGTTGTAGTTTCAGGCATACTTGTGGTTGTTGCATCAGATGTTGTTGATGTTGGTGCCACGGTTGATGATGTTGGAAAAGTGGTTGTGGCAGCCAAAGTTGTTGTTGCATCAGTAGTTTTTGTGGCGTCAGGCATACTTGCAGATGCTGCATCTGATGTTGTTGACACTGGTGTTATAGTTGAAGATGTTGGAGGGGTGGTTGTGGATGCCAAAATTGTAGCATTAGTAGTTTTTGTGGTATCAGACAGAGTTGTGGTTGCTGCATCAATTATTAGAATTGGTGCAACACTTGAAGTTATTGAAACAGCCAAAATTGTAGTTGCATCAATAGTTGTTGTGGTGTAAGGTATAGTTGTGTTTGCTGCATTAGTTGTTAGTGTTTGTGCTATAGTTGAGGATTTTTGAGGTGTGGTTGAGGAAGCCAAAATTGTTGCATCAGTAGTTGTTGTGGTGTCAGACAGAGTTGTGGTTGACATCATTTGTTGATGCTGGTGCTATTGTTGAGGATGTTTGAGGGGTGGTTGTGGAAGCCAATGTTGCTGTTGCAGCAGTAGTTTTTGTGGTGTCAGACAGAGTTTTGGTTGATGCATCAGTTTTTGATGCTAGAGAGGTGGTTTTGGAATCCAAAGATATTGTTGCATCAGTAGTTTCTGTGGTGTCAGGCATATATGTTGTTGGTCCATTATTTGTTGATGTTGGTACTGTAGCTGAAGTTGTTGGATGGGTGGTTGTTGAAGTCAAAGTTGTTGCATCAATAGTTGTTGTGGTGTCAGGCATAATTGTGGTTGCTGCATCTGATGTTGTTGACACTGGTACTATAGTTGAGGATGTTGTGTGGGATGTTGTGGATGCCAAAGTTGTTGTTGCATCAGTAGTTGTTGTGCTGTCAAACAGAGATGTGGTTGATATATCAGTTGTTGATGCAGGTGCTATTGGTGAGGATGTTGGAGGGGTGGCTGTGGAAGTCAAAGTTGTTGTTGCATCAATTGATCTTGTGGCGTCAGCCATACTTGTGGTTGCTGCATCTGATGTTGTTGACACTGGTGCTATAGTTGAGGATGTTGTAGGGGAGGTTGTGGATGCCAAAATTGTTGTTGCATCAGTAGTTGTTGTGCTGTGTTGTGGATGCCAAAGTTGTTGTTGCATCAGTAGTTGTTGTGCTGTCAAACAGAGATGTGGTTGATATATCAGTTGTTGATGCAGGTGCTATTGGTGAGGATGTTGGAGGGGTGGCTGTGGAAGTCAAAGTTGTTGTTGCATCAAGTGATCTTGTGGCGTCAGCCATACTTGTGGTTGCTGCATCTGATGTTGTTGACACTGGTGCTATAGTTGAGGATGTTATATGGGAGGTTGTGGGTGCCAAAGTTGTTGTTGCATCAGTAGTTCTTGTGCTGTCAGGCATAGTTGTTGTTGGTTCATTAGTCGTCGAATTTGGTACTATAGCTGAGAATGTTGGAGGGGTGGTTGTGGAAGTCAAAGTTGTTGTTGCATCAATAGTTGTTGTGGTGTCAGGCATACTCGCGGATGCTGCATCTGATGTTGTTGACACTGGTGTTATAGTTGAGGATATTGGAAGGGTGGTTGAGGAAGTCAAAGTTGTTGTTGCATCAGTAGTTGTTGTGCTGTCAGTCAGAGTTGTGGTTGATGCAGCAGTTGTTGACACTGATTCTATAATTGAGGATGTTGAAAGGGTGGTTGTGATAGCTAATGTTGTTGTTGCATCAATACTTGTTGTGTTGTCAGAAACAGTTGTGGTTGCTGCATCAGTTCTTGACACTGGTGCTACAGTTGAGGATGTTGTAGAAGTCACTGTGGAAGCCAAAGTTGTTGTTGCATCAATAGTTGTTGTGGTTCCAGAAAGAGTTGTTGTTACTGCATCAGTTGTTGTTGACATTGGTGCCACAGTTGAAGATGTTGAAAGGGTGGTTGAGGTGGCTAATGCTGCTGTTGACTCAATACTTGTTGTGGTGTCTGGCATAGCTGTGGTTGCTGCATCAGATGTTGTCGATGTTGGTGCTAGAGTTGAGGATGTTAGTTGGGTGGTTGTGGAAGCCAAAATTGTTGGTGCATCGGTAGTTGTTGTGGCGTCAGGCAGAGTAGTGGTTGGTGCATCAGATGTTGTAGACGTTGATGCTACGGTCAAAAATGTTGGAGGGTTAGTTGTGGAATTCAAAGTGGTTGTAGTTTCAGGCATACTTGTGGTTGCTGCATCAGATGTTGTTGATGTTTGTGCCACGGTTGATGATGTTGGAAAAGTGGTTGTGGCAGCCAAAGTTGTTGTTGCATCAGTAGTTGTTGTGCTGTCAGACAGAGTTGTGGTTGATGCATCAGTTGTTGATGCTGGTGCTATTGTTGAGGATGTTTGAGGGGTGGTTGTGGAAGCCAATGTTGCTGTTGCAGCAGTAGTTTTTGTGGTGTCAGACAGAGTTTTGGTTGATGCATCAGTTTTTGATGCTAGAGAGGTGGTTTTGGAATCCAAAGATATTGTTGCATCAGTAGTTTCTGTGGTGTCAGGCATATATGTTGTTGGTCCATTATTTGTTGATGTTGGTACTGTAGCTGAAGTTGTTGGATGGGTGGTTGTTGAAGTCAAAGTTGTTGCATCAATAGTTGTTGTGGTGTCAGGCATAATTGTGGTTGCTGCATCTGATGTTGTTGACACTGGTACTGTAGTTGAGGACGTTGTATGGGATGTTGTGGATGCAAAAGTTGTTGTTGCATCAGTAGTTGTTGTGCTGTAAAACAGAGATGTGGTTGATATGTCAGTTGTTGATGCAGGTGCTATTGTTGAGGATGTTGGAGGGGTGGTTGTGGAAGTCAAAGTTGTTGTTGCATCAATTGATCTTGTGGCGTCAGCCATACTTGTGGTTGCTGCATCTGATGTTGTTGACACTGGTGCTATAGTTGAGGATGTTGTAGGGGAGGTTGTGGATGCCAAAATTGTTGTTGCATCAGTAGTTGTTGTGCTGTCAGACAGAGTTGTGGTTGATGCATCAGTTGTTGATGCTGCTGCTATTGCTGAAGATGTTTGAGGGGTGGTTGTGGAAACCAAAGTTGTTGTTACAGCAGTAGTTTTTGTGGTGTCAGATATAGCTCTTTTTGGTTCATTAGTCATCGATGTTGGTACTGTAGCTGAGGATGTTGGAGGGTTGGTTGTGGAAGTCAAATTTGTTGTTGCATCAATAGTTGTTGTGGTGTCAGGCATAATTGTGCTTGCTGCGTCTGATGTTGTTGACAGTGGTGCTAAAGTTGAGGTTGTAGTAGGGGAGGTTGTGGATGCCAAAGTTGTTGTTGCATCAGTAGTTGTTGGTCTATCAGACAGAGTTGTGGTTGATGCATCAGTTGTTGATGATGCTGCAGTTGTTAAGGATGTTTGAGGGGTGGTTTTGGAAACCAAAGCTATTGTTGCATCAGTTGTTGATGTTAAAGGGGTGGCTGTGGAATCCAAAGTTGTTGTTGCATCAGTAGTTGTTGTGGTGTCAGACTGAGTTGTGGTTGATGCATCAGTTTTTGATTTTAGAGAGGTGGTTTTGGAATCCAAAGTTGTTGCATCAGTAATTTCTGAGGTGTCAGGCATAGTTGTTTTTGGTCCATTAGTTGTTGATGTTGGTACTGAAGCCGAAGTTGTTGGAGGGCTGGTTGTTGAAGTCAAAGTTGTTGCATCAATAGTTGTTGTGCTGTCAGGCATACTTGTGATTGCTGCATCTGATGTTGTTGAGGCTGGTGCTAGAGCTGAGGATGTTGTAGGGGAGGTTGTGGGTGTCAAAGTTGATGTTGCATCAGTAGTTGTTGTGCTGTCAAACAGAGTTGTGGTTACTGCATCAGTTGTTGACACTGGTGCTATAGTTAAGGATGTTGGAGGCGTGGTTGTGGAAGTCAAAGTTGTTGTTTTATCAATTGTTGTTGTGGTGTCAGACAGATTTGTGGTTGCTGCATCAGTTGTTGATGCTGGTGCAATAGTTGAGGATGTTGGAGGGGTGGTTGTGAAAGGCAAAGTTGTTGTTTCATCAATTGTTGTTGTGGTGTCAGACAGATTTGTGGATGCTGCATCAGTTGTTGACGCTGGTGCTATAGTTGAGGATGTTGGAGGGGTGGTTGTGGAAGTCAAAGTTGTTGTTGCATCAGTAATTGTTTTGGTGTCAGGCATTCTTGTGGTTGCTGCATTTGATGTTGTTGACACTGGTGCTTCAGTTGAGGATGTTGTAGGGGAGGTTGTGGATGCCAAAGTTGTTGTTGCATCAGTAGTTGTTGTGCTGTCAGGCATAGCTGTTGTTGTTTCATTAGTCGTCGAATTTGGTACTATAGCTGAGGATGTTGGAGGGGTGGTTGTGGAAGTCAAAGTTGTTGTTGCATCAATAGTTGTTGTGGTATCAGTCATACTTGTGGTTGCTGCATCTGATGTTGTTGACACTGGTGCTATAGTTGAGGATGTTGTAGGGGAGGTTGTGGATGCCAAAGTTGTTGTTGCATCAATAGTTGTTGTGGTATCAGTCATACTTGTGGTTGCTGCATCTGATGTTGTTGACACTGGTGCTATAGTTGACAATGTTGTAGGGGAGGTTGTGGATGCCAGGACTGTTGCTGAATCAGTAGTTGTTGTGGTGTCAGACACAGTTGTGGTTGATGGATCAGTTGTTGATAATGGTGCAATTGTTGAGGATGTTTGAGGGGTGGTTGTCGAAGCCAAAGCTGTTGTTGCATCAGAAGTTGTTGTGGTGTCAGACAGGGTTGTGGTTGATGCATCAGTTGTTGATGTTAGAGGGGTGGCTGTGGAATCTAAAGTTGCTATTGCATCAGTAGTTTTTGTGGTGTCAGGCATAATTGTTGTTAGTTTATTAGTCGTCGATGTTGGTACTGTAGCTGAGGATGTTGGAGAGGTGGTCGTGGATGCCAAAGTTGTCGTTGCATCAGTAGTTGTTGTGCTATCAGAGAGAGTTTTGGTTGATGCATCAGTTGTTGACACTGATTCTATAATTGAGGGTGTTGAAAGGGTGTTTGTGATAGGTAATGCTGTTGTTGCATCAATACTTGTTGTGGTGTCAGGCACATTTGTGGTTGCTGCATGAGTTGTTGACACTGATGCTACAGTTGAGGATGTTGTAGAAGTGATTGTGGAAGCCAAAGCTGTTGTTGCGTCAGTAGTTGTTGTGGTTCCAGAGAGAGTTGTTGTTGCTGCATCAGTTGTTGTTGACATTGGTGCCACAGTTAAAGATGTTGAAAGGGTGGATGACGTGGCTAATGTTACTGTTGCTTCAATACTTGTTGTGGTATCTGGTATAGCTGTGGTAGTTGTATCATATGTTGTCGATGTTGGTGCTATAGTTAAGGATGTTAGTTGGGTGGTTGTGGAAGCCAAAGTTGTTGTTACATCGACAGCTGTTGTGGTGTCAGGCAGAGTGGTGGTTGGTGCATCAGATGTTGTTGACGTTGGTGCTACGGTCAAAGATGTTGGAGGGTTGGTTGTGGAAGCCAAAGATGTTGTTGCATCAGTAGTTGTTGTGGTGTCAGCCACAGTTGTGGTTGATGCATCAGTTGTTGATGTTAGGGGGGTGGTTGTGGAAGCCAAAGTTGTTGTTGCATCACTAGTTTCTGTGGTGTCAGGCATAGTTGTTGTTGGTTCATTAGTCGTCGGTGTTGGTACTGTAGCTGACGATGTTGGAGGGGTGGTTGTGGAAGTCAAAGTTGTTGCATCAATAGTTGTTGTGGTGTCAGGCATACTTGTGGTTGCTGCATCTGATGTTGTTGACACTGGTGCTATAGTTGAGGATGTTTGAGGGGTGGTTGTCGAAGCCAAAGCTGTTGTTGCATCAGTAGTTGTTCTGGTGTCAGCCACAGTTGTGGTTGATGCATCAGTTGTTGATGTTAGAGGGGTGGTTGTCGAAGCCAAAGTTGTTTTTGCATCAGTAGTTTTTGTGGTGTAAGACATACTTGTGGTTGTTGCATCTAATATTGTTGACAGTGGTGCTAAAGTTGAGGATGTTGTAGGGGAGTTTGTGGATGCCAAAGATTTTGTTGCATCAGTAGTTGTTGTGCTATTAGACAGAGTTGTGGTTGATGCATCAGTTGTTGATGCTGGTGCTAATGTTGAGAATGTTTGAGGGGTGGTTGTGGAAGCCAAAATTGTTGTTGCATCAGTAGTTTTTGTAGAGTCAGGTATAGTTGTTGTTGGTTCATTAGTCGTCGATGTTGGTACTGTAGCTGAGGATGTTGGAGGGGTGGCTGTGGAAGTCAAAGTTGTAGTTGCATCAATTGATGTTGTGGTGTCAGCCATACTTTTGGTTGCTGCATCTGATGTTGTTGACACCGGTGCTATAGTTGAGGATGTTTGAGGGGTGGTTGTCGAAAACAAAGCTGTTGTTGCATCAGAAGTTGTTGTGGTGTCAGACAGAGTTGTAGGTGTTGCATCAGTTGTTGATGTTAGAGGGGTGGCTGTGGAATCTAAAGTTGTTGTTGCATCAGTAGTTTTTTTGGTGTCAGGCATAATTGTTGTTGGTTCATTATTCGTCGATGTTGCTACTGCAGCTAAGGATGTTGGAGGGGTGGTCGTGGATGCCAAAGTTGTCGTTGCATCAGTAGTTGTTGTGCTATCAGACAGAGTTGTGGTTGATGAATCAGTTGTTGATGCTGATGCCAATGTTGAGAATTTTTGACTAGTGGTTGTGTAAGCCAAAATTGTTGTTGCATCAGTAGTTTTTGTCGATTCAGGTATAGTTGTTGATGGTTTATTAGTCGTCGATGTTGGTACTGTAGCTGACGATGTTGGAGGTGTGGTTGTGGAAGTCAAAGTTGTTGTAGCATCAGTAGTTGTTGTGGTGTCAGGCACAGTTGTGGTTGATGCATCAGTTGTTGATGCTGGTGTTATTGTTGAGGATGATTGAGGGCTGGTTGTCGAAGCCAAAGCTATTGTTGCATCAGAAGTTGTTAGAGGGGTGGCTGTGGAATCTAAAGTTGTTGTTGCATCAGTAGTTCTTGTGGTGTCAGGCATAATTGTTGTTGGATCATTAGTCGTCGATGTTGGTACTGTAGCAGAGGATGTTGGAGGGGTGGTCGTGGAAGTCAAAGTTGTTGTTGCATCAATAGTTGTTGTGGTGTCAGGCATAATTGTGCTTGCTGCGTCTGATGTTGTTGACAGTGGTGCTAAAGTTGAGGTTGTAGTAGGGGAGGTTGTGGATGCCAAAGTTGTTGTTGCATCAGTAGTTGTTGTGGTGTCAGGCACAGTTGTGGTTGATGCATCAGTTGTTGATGTTAGAGGGGTGGTTGTGGAATCCGAAGTTGTTGTTGCATCAGTAGTTGTTGTGGTGTCATACAGAGTTGTGGTTGTTGCATCAGTAGTTTTTATAGTGTCAGGCATAGTTGTTGTTGGTTCATTAGTCGTCGATCTTGGTACTGTAGCTGAGGATGTTGGAGGGGTGGTCGTGGAAGTCAAAGTTGTTGTTGCATCAGTAGTTTTTATAGTGTCAGGCATAGTTGTTGTTGGTTCATTAGTCGTCGATCTTGGTACTGTAGCTGAGGATGTTGGAGGGGTGGTCGTGGAAGTCAAAGTTGTTGTTGCATCAGTAGTTGTTGGTCTATCAGACAGAGTTGTGGTTGATGCATCAGTTGTTGATGCTGGTGCTAATGTTGAGAATGTTTGAGGGGTGGTTGTGGAAGCCACAATTGTTGTTGCATCACTAGTTTCTGTGGTGTCAGGCATAGTTGTTGCTGTTTCATTAGTCGTCGATGTTGGCACTGTAGCGGAGGATGTTGGAGGTGCGGTTGTGGAAGTCAAAGTTGTTGCATCAATAGTTGTTGTGGTGTCAAACAGAGTTGTGGTTGATGCATCATTTGTTGATGCTAGTGCTATTGTTGAGGATGTTTGAGGGGTAGTTGTGGAATCCAAAGTTGTTGTTTCATCAGTAGTTGTTGTGGTGTCAGGCAGAGTTGTTGTTGGTCCATTAGTTGTTGATGTTGGTACTGTAGTTGAAGATGTTGGAGGGATGGTTGTGGAAGTCAAAGTTGTTGTTGCATCACTAGTTGTTGTGGTGTCAGGCATACTTGCGGATGCTGCATCTGATGTTGTTGACACTGGTGTTAGAGTTGAGGATGTTTGAGGGGTGGTTGTGGAAGTCAAAGCTGTTTTTGCATCAGTAGTTGTTGTGCTGTCAGACAGAGCTGTGGTTGATGCATAAATTGTTGACACTGATTCTATAATTGAGGATGTTGAAAGGGTGGTTGTGATAGCTAATACTGTTGTTGCATCGATACTTGTTGTGGTGTCAGGCACAGTTGTGGTTGCTGCCTCAGTTATTGACACTGGTGCTACTGTTGAGGATGTTGTAGAAG